TCTTGGTTCAGAAATGCCGAATCACACCGGAAACTTGCTTTGTTCTGTGATTGCGTTTGTCTCTTCTAAACTAGCCCGAAGAACTGGATTTGCGGTTTTATTAAATTTTAGTCGCCCTGAACCTGCAGTGAAACCGCGAAAGGTAATTCGCAGTAGCAAATTCCATCGGGAGTCACCTGTCTCACAACGTGACGCAAATTCTGACTCACGAGCCTGGTCATTGCACTGTTCACGACCAGCCTTTGTTTGAAGAAGCGCACAGTGAGTGACTCAGGACTCCGTTCACAGGAACTGACCTCGGCCTGTGCCTTCGTATCTAACGTTCACTGACCGGGCAGTTCCTGACGTTCGGTGTTTCTGTCTGTGGGGCAAATGCAAGCAATCGACGCTCACATGACCAAATTATGATATCCTGACTCATTTAACCAATTCCACGGGGGGGGGGGGATCTTTTTGATACGCTGACAGTCGTTCAGCTCGTCAAGAAACTCCTCTTGTTTATCTATGATTCCCGAAGGTTGATTACTGCGACTAGGTCTCTCAAACGGTGTCTTCCTTGCTATGCTTGAGACACCAAGGTTCGTACCCCCACAAACCATCAACAGTTAATGATAATAATTACACGAGGCCTAATAATAACTAACTAACTAACTAGATGGCTTGATGGCTTACCAAACCCGAAGGTTCATCACCGAATTAACCAAAGCTCTGTCCTGGGCCAACAAAATCCAGTCTCCTTCAACTCCTATCTCCCATAGATCCCGCCTGAGATTATCCTCCCATCTACGTCTAGGTCTCCCCAGGGGTCTCTTCCCCTCAGGCTTCCCAAATAGTGGACCCAACCAACCAGATGGCTTACCGAACCCGAAGGTTCATCACCGAATTAACCAAAGCCCTCCACCGGACCCTGTCCTGGACCAACAAAATCCAGTCTCTTTCGAGGCATAATTAATAATAATAATAATAATTTTCTTCCTTATGATGAAATGGTTGAAGAGTTTTTAACACGAATTTCTCGTCAAAACGTCCAATAATTCTCCACCAGCAGTTCGCAGAATCGTAGAGATTCAGGAGTAAAGTGGGTTCACTGCCCCTCATAATTACTTGCCATCCCGTGTAATAAGCAGTGAGCGGATGCACTTAACATCTCGTTCTGTTTCTTCCTGTAAAAAAAAGGCCATTGCACGAGAATGCAAGGTGGGAAAAGAAAATATATATAAAAATAACAAGCTACTCGCTCGTGCATACTTTTTACGCTTGTAGAACTCTCAGATCTGAAAGATTTCTTACCCCGCAGTTCAACGTAAGTACGAAGCCTCACTGCAGCCAGGAAACTGTTGCCTGCGGTCCTCACGGTCGACGTAGGATGGGGTGCTAGGTTTGCAGCTTTGAACAAAGTTTCTCCGGCTAAACTGTGCACCTCAGGGCTAATACAGGGGAATCTTGACTGGTCGCTTGAGGGCCTAACGAGATGGTGTCATTGTGTCTTCGTTTCGTTTAATCCGGTGAATTCTTTGACGGCTGTCCGGGTGACTTGAACTACAGTACTCTAATGGTTTTGGAGCTTTAATAAATGAAAGCCTAATTATTTAACTGTTCGGCGTTTATTTTTAAGTTTTGAGACTCGTATTGTGTGGGTATTTTTGAAGGCTGTGTAAAATCTCAGGCCCATATCCGTGAGTTGTGGTAATTAATATGAAAATTAAATCACAGCAACATAGTGCCCACATGAACTATTCTGGTATGATGTCGGTAATCCGACGTATGTCGATGCATGTGCGATTGGAGTCACACGTAGCACGAAGGACATTCAACCCACGAGGCACCAATATGGCGACAAGCGCATTCTAAACTTATCATCTCATTTACGAAGTCAAAAAGGCTTCTCCAAAGTTATGCTACAACTGATATTTTCAGAAGCCATGCAACTGTCTCGTGTTTCTTTGCTTGAACAAAGCTCGTGTTGTCTTTATTACGGGTTGAATGTCTTTGGCTGTCATGAAAATTAGATTGCAGATTCAGTGCTTGAACAGTGTTGAAATATTCTAACATATTCTGTACAAATGTTTTATTTCCGGTGATTTTTTTTTAAAAATCTCCTTTGTTAAAATGCCTGCTCTTACATAAACATTGCATGTAGACTTCGTAGCTTCGGTTGGTAAAACGTCATGACCCCAGAAACAATGGCGCCTGCACAGGAGGTGCAGAGAGGATCGTGTATCTCTACGTTTCCACATGATTTCGTGCTCATTTCTACGATTACTGTGTTCATGTGTGTGTGCACTCAGCGAGCGTTCTGTCTACTGTGGTTTTATGTTTTAGGACGGCTAAGTTCAATTTTGCAATGGGGAGGGGTCTCTTATTGCGCGTTTGGTGAAGCGAGGTCGATACTTGTGATCTGTGTACACAATCAGCCTCCCTCACACACCCCTACACCCCTAAATCAGTCAGTCAATCAATTAATCAATCAACGCCTCACATCCCAGTGCCATTTGGAAAGTAATTGAATGAATATTCTGCAGATCAGAGACAGAAAATATTCTTAGTAAAAGAAAAACTACCGAGAACAATAATTATGACGAACCGGATGTAATTAAACTTTCTTGCATATGAAAGCGTTCGATTTTCGATGCAGGTATCGACTTTAAATACCAAGTAAAGCAAAATTGCAATCTGACGGATATCGAGAAGACAAACCCGACACGTCCTTGGAGGATTTAGGATGTTTGATTTGGGTGGATGTTTTGGTTGTGCATTAGAATATTTCTCCACAGACGTCTGTTATATCTGAGGAGTGGTGTTGAGGATTGCAGGCTTATAGAAGGCCTCACTACGGAGACACGACAACGGGATTCAAATAAGCCACTTTTAATCCACGTGTGTGTGTAGTTTCCAGTTGCGAAATTCGCCTCCGTCTCAACGCGCTTGCAACAAATATCCCTCTCATTCTTGTTTTTAAGGACGCAGATCGCTATAGAAATCAGGGACTCGGACCGGGTTCGGCTGAGTGAATAAGGAAGTATCCGTTTACAGGAAGAACGTGGCCTTTGTAAAGCTACAGATCAATGTACGATCCGCATAAAAAAAGTGTTCAGGTACAAGATTAAGACAAAATATCTGTGTTGGCAAATGCAAGGCACAACGAAGCATTTGATTGGTGAGTCAGTATTCTTTGTTTCATTGATGACTGTGGAGTCCTGTCCCCAGATCACGGAGCAGGAGAAAATCCCTCGAAAACGCGGCAGTCTTCAGAAATTTGGTAACTATGGTAATAAATGAAAATTTCATTTTCCTGGAGAATATGAACAGATCGAATTCTGGAACTGTCTGATATCACCCAGTTCAGAATTTTCTCTTAGAGTTTTATATATATAAGAAAGACTATATTATATAAAATTAAAGTTTTATATTGGCATGAAATTATGAAATGTGTGTAAAATTTGGTCTGTCATTCTGAAGCAAGAGACAAACAAGTCTTAGGACTGATTGCAGACCGAGATATGAACCCGGATCTTCAGAAGTAAGAAGCTGGAGTGTTAATCACTCCGCTGCGACGTCATGAAGGAGACGAGAGGAACGATGGGAAGTCCGAATAGATGGGAGGATAATATTAAAATGTCTCATACACAAATACTTTGTAAGGAATACAAACTGGATTGAAGTGCTTCAGATCAGGGCTTTTATGTTTGAGGCAATAATCCTTTGGGTTATTTATTAGAGACTTCGATTTCGCTCAGAATTCATCCGTGATATTCACAAACTTTGTAGGCATTAAACAATGGCATTGAAAGCGTTGCCATTGGTGCGTAATTGAATGCGAGGAACAGCTTCCCGTCTCATCTGCTCGTTCCAGTAGGTTGTTTGAAATGTTCATGACTCGTCTCGCCAAGTGAGGGAGTGCCCCAGTAAAAACGCGGTAAATAAGGTGCTGTTTGTGGAGCAATGTTTCCTGCACGCACAGACAAGGTCAGGTCTTTGGCTGAAGGCTGCTGAGCCCTGGACCAAATCTGTGTTTCGCCTGCGTCACTAGTTCGTGGGCAGAAGGAGAATTAACGCATGTATAGAGTGTTCCAAAAAGATGTATACACACGTAGTGAATGAGATGAGGATATTTTAATAAATTAAACCACTACATATTGGCACATACTGTTTGCACGTGTTAAAAATTACCACCCTCAGCTTCGTGGCACAGTTGACGGCGGCGAGCAACTCACTGACAAGCAGCTAACAAATTTGCTACTGCACAAAACCGTCCACTTTCTTGCCGGAGCTCTTAAAGTCTTTGTTTGGCTTTGTGCGTCCTTTAAGGCTTTGACCGGGATGTTCTTTTGTTAAATCTTATGTGGTACCGCCTGATTCGACTTCTAATGGTTAAGTGAAGTGTTTTCTTCGCGGTACGGTCTGGATTCGTAAATATTATGAAGACGAGCTTCGGCTTCAAAGGGTTAACCAGTTGATTTTCGTAATGGTGAGGTGCAGTGTTTTCTTCGCGGTACGGACTGAATTCATAAATAATATTCAGACGATCTTCGGCTTCAAAGGGTTAAGTAGCCCCCCACAATAAAATGTCAGGTGGGGGTTAAATGTGGCGATCATGGGGGTACTCAACAGATCCATCGGACTCGAAAGTTTTGTCAGAATAGGCCCTGATATCATGTGTGGATGCCCCAATATTTTCCCCACATGTTAGAATACTGGCCACGTGTTTAAATGAGTACTTTATTTGTGAGAGCTTTGAACCTAACCTAACGTCGTAAAGCGCTTACTCTAGTTACAGTCTGAACATTGGAACGTTTGTCCTCGTTCTTTTAATACGAAGTAGACGAGCGGCTCTCGGATGAAGTTTGGTTCTTTGTCCTAGCGAAAATAATGTTGGTAAATCGTAAAAATAGGTATAAATTTACGTGGTTCGTCGCAGAAAACAATTCGAAAGTCGATGGACAGATGTACTTGATTTTGAAGAACTGTCAGAAAAATGTAGATTTATTCTTTTGTTTCAGAAGAGGCGTCTTCCGGCGCGGACCTCCGGAAGGATAAGCCAGCGAACCCGGAGTGCAGAAGAATAATAAGGTAGAGACGCATATTTTTAATATATTTTACGTTTGTAATTCCCGCATTTGTGAATCGAGTCTCTTGTCACAAGACGTGGCGCGTTCTCTTGTGAATGTATTGCATACGTGGTCACAGGCAAACAGTCGACAAGGGGTGGTCCCTCAGCTAGAGAGAAATCTAGCATAGGGGATCGCCTTCCCTATCTCTACAGGCACCTTCTAGGAAATTTGATACGCTCACGAGAACTGTAGAATATTGATTTTTTTTTATTTAGTGTTCTGTCTGACGACAGGTCCATATGAACAGGATCCTTCCATCCTTTTCTCGGACTGGGACCTGTTCATATACGTTCTTGGCAGATGATCCAGAAGTGGTTTGCCATTGCCTTCTTCTGTGTGTGAATGGAGTAATTGTTGGGATGCCACGGAGGAAAACTCCGTGTTGCCTAGACCACGGCCTTGCCCAACACAAGTTATAAATTCGAACCCGAGACCCCAGGATTACAAGGCCAGCGTTCTAACCGCTAGACCACGTGATAAGAAGTTTTAATTGTTTGATTTTGCAATTTTACTGATATTTGTCACACTCTGGGGATATCTAATCTTGATCCAATTGATGTGGCAGATGCGATAAAGGAATTGTAATCTGATTATTTCAGTTCAAATCCTTTTTTTTTTTTTTTCGTGGATTTCTACGGTGCCCGATAGAAATTACAAGTTACTCTTAGTTTCCCATTATATGATGTTGGAAAAATTAAGTTCCGGTACATTTTGAACAGACCTCGTGGCGCTGTAATCCAGAAGACAGCCATCTTAACACTCGCCTCCTTGAGAACATAAAATCTTGATTAAGGAGGAGAATGCTCCGTGGAGTTAGTTCACTTTCTCTCTCACTACTTGAGACTTTAACTTTTCTGGCGTCGGCAATTTTTGAGAAAGTAGAGTCGCGGTTTTGCGTCGTGTCCCGTAGTCTTCAGAATTTCTGCAAGATTTGCTTTGTTCGCGGTGCGTCATTCGGCTGTTTTGCAGCTGACGCCGGAATATCCATGACGGTTTTAAATTCTTGCTGAGTCTGATTTGTTATAACGAACATGGATTTTGATGCCTGAATTGTTTAAATAAATTCGATTAATTCTGACGTTTAATTTGTTATTCCGGGACAACTTTGGACTTAATATACTTGAAAATGCAAGCTTTTAACAAAATTTAGTGCATTGTTCAATTATCAGGTTTTTTATACAAGGGTTCTTCTTTGACTTCCCCGTTCTCAACATTCCAACCCGTGAATTTTTCATCTCCTGTTAATGACGCAGTTTTCTCCCAAACTTCTTCCGTTCCTTATCTTATTTGTAAATTTTAAATATAATTGTGATTAGACGGACAAAACCGAATAATTAATTTAATATTTGATTCACAATATGACACAATTATACTATTTTATTTTGAAGGTGGAGTAGAGAACTCTGAGAAACTTTGACGACTTGTGAATTAAATCGCTTAATTACGTCACTTCCGCCACAAGAAGATAGGATAATTCTGACGTTTGAAAGCTTCTCTCCACGCCACATCACGTAGGTCATTGCGATCCAAGGTCATTGTTGCTTCTTGTGTTGTACGATTTGATGTCATTGTTGCGAAACATTTTGTTCAAAATTGACAGTGGAGACCACGGTTCCGGAGAATCTGACGTAAATACGTCTCTGTATTTAAATTATATTTACGTCTCTGTAGTGTAATGTTATCTTCAATGTCATCCATCTTGTTACGAAAGCGGATTGTTGACGACAGTAATGTAACACAACAATGCCGAGTAAAGAGATGACGTTTTCTAGGTAACATAACAATGCACGCAAGCTGGCCATTGTTGTCGGTCCATATATTACACGTTTTCTTAGGTAACAACAATGCCGAGTAAACACGACGTTCTCTAGGTAAACATTGTTGTCAATTTGTTGATATGGATCTTACACGTTTTCTTAGGTAACAACAATGCCGAGTAAACACGACGTTCCCTAGGTAACCATTGTTGTCGATTTGTTGATATGGATCTTACACGTTTTCTTAGGTAACAACAATGCCGAGTAAACACGACGTTCCCTAGGTAACCATTGTTGTCGATTTGTTGATATGGATCTTACACGTTTTCTTAGGTAACAACAATGCCGAGTAAACACGACGTTCCCTAGGTAACCATTGTTGTCGATTTGTTGATATGGATCTTACACGTTTTCTTAGGTAACAACAATGCCGAGTAAACACGACGTTCCCTAGGTAACCATTGTTGTCGATTTGTTGATATGGATCTTACACGTTTTCTTAGGTAACAACAATGCCGAGTAAACACGACGTTCCCTAGGTAACCATTGTTGTCGATTTGTTGATATGGATCTTACACGTTTTCTTAGGTAACAACAATGCCGAGTAAACACGGCGTTCCCTAGGTAACCATTGTTGTCGATTTGTTGATATGGATCTTGTACTTTTTCGTAACACGTTTTTGCGGAATGACCCTTCCATATAGACGTATTTACGTCAAAAAATTACCAACAATGGGAACCAGTGCGTCGTAAGAGACATCGGCCGGCCTATAAAATGTTCTTCGCTCGTGGTGGAGCGTGAAGTGACCATTACATCAGTGAACAGAAGACGCGAGAGTGGTTTCATTCGCCGTCGCACGTAATGTGCGGGGTCGTCGTGACAGACAGACAGACAGACCACCGACGCCGATGGAACACTTTTCCTGAAATGGCTTCAGATTAAAGTGCAAATCACATCGCTGTTTTTTCTTGTTCAAGAGCCGAAGGGCGGACGTAATGACCTCTGACCCAGCGACACACAAAGTCTTCAGAAGTCGATAAGAGTCCGCGGTCAGAGCTGCAAAATGCCCTTTGTTTCTCTGGACCCGCAGAGGTTAATAGCGTGGCCTCGTTGTCTGTCATTGGACCCTGTGATAAGCAGCTGCTTCACATCGCATTACCCCGAAATTTAATTTTAATGTTATCCTTCCCTGTACACCTTGCTTTACGAAGAAAAACATGTACTTGGCGCTGAAAATATCGCACGCCTTGCCCAGGGGTGGGGAACCTGCGGCCTTAAGGCCACATATGGCCTTCTAGGTCCTTAAGTGCGGCCTTTTGACTGAATCCAAATTTTACAGAACAAATCCTTTTATTTCTATTAATACATTTTTCAAGACGCTCTTAAGGCCACAAATGACGGATACTCATCTAGAGGATAAACTGAAACCGCGGACCTCAATGCTGCAACCAAACATTCAAATGCTTTCCTACTGAAAGTAGACACAACAAAGTCATTACAGGATTAGTTAACTTTAAAATTAACAGATAGTTTTCATTTTTTTAAAATTATTAAGTACATAGTAGTCAGATTTTTTACAAAATAATGTTAATTTTTAAGTGTATCTAATTGAAGTTTCTTGAACGCGGCCCTATTTGATTACAGCTAAATTAATGCGGGCTTCCGACATGAAAAGGTTCCCCACCCCTGGTTTAGTTCATTCCCCTTTTATGGAATTTCCTCGTGTGTTTTAAATGTTCCGCGCATCTCGTCCCCTGTGATTTGGTGAAGTCTCTCCTTATGTAATTTTCTTCATTCATCTCTCGCAGATACAGATGTACCTGAATCTACGAAGCTTCGCGCGTGTGTAACGAGCGATCAGTTTTTGTATAAAATTTCGAATAATCCACTTAATTTATTCGATATTTCATAATTATGAACGAAGAAAGAAAGTAAGGATGGAGTTTCATGAAATATCGATTGTTTAGCAGATAAAGCTCCATTAGTCCTTAATAGGATCATCAGCTTTGTGCCATATAAATCAGAGAACGTTCCAGAAACACTTTCCATGTTAACTGTTTACTGTTTTGACATTTGTACTGTTACCTCTGACTGCTGGCTAGCTGGCCTTCGCTCTCAGCTGTTCGCTGCGTAGTTTAACAGTCGTTCACTCTCTCCCTCTCTCTTTCTCTCTCTCTCAGTCGGCGGGAGATCAAGAATTTTCATGAAATATCGATTGTTTAGCAGATAAAGCTCCATTAGTCCTTAATAGGATCATCAGCTTTGTGCCATATAAATCAGAGAACGTTCCAGAAACACTTTCCATGTTAACTGTTTACTGTTTTGACATTTGTACTGTTACCTCTGACTGCTGGCTAGCTGGCCTTCGCTCTCAGCTGTTCGCTGCGTAGTTTAACAGTCGTTCACTCTCTCCCTCTCTCTTTCTCTCTCTCTCAGTCGGCGGGAGATCAAGAATCTTGTCAACAGACCATCATTTCATACATTACATGTTGCTCGCTGGGGCACGGGGAATCTTTTGGGTCATGTAAGATCTCTGTTGAGCAAAGTGAGAGGCTGTCGGTGCAGACTTTGACTCCAGAAGTGAAAAAAATTCCTTCCCAGAACGCATTAAAGGACGTGTAGTTCGCAAACCGTTTGAAACTGTGGGGAAATTCTCAGATATTTGGCAACGAATAAGTACTGCATCAGGGATTGAAATAAGAGGATATTAAATTTCGGGAATGGTTGTTACCAGAATCTTTGGTTTCACATTCTTCCAGCTAAAAAGTTACAGAACAGATTAAGTTTACTAATCTGAAAGGAAAAACCACGGAGTGATGGTGAAGATGGCTGTCTTCTGGGTTGTACCGCCGTGTAGTCTGGCAGAAGTTTACCATCGTTTCACAAGTCCTTGCTGCCTCCATCATCAGGGCGGAGACAGGAAGTAACAGGAGGGATGGGAAGAATTGCAGATCAGTGGCGTGTGTTGCCCACCGCAAATTAAGTTACTAGGGCGATTAAATCAAGGAGGATGACATGGAAAAGATGCCAGAAATGCGAACAAAATTTAGTTGGGAAACCACGTCTGGAACTTCGGCGTAGATGTGAAGATACTATTAAAATGAATCTTAAAAATACGTTTTAAGGATGTGGACTGGATTTGTAGGGCACAGGATATGGAGTAGTGAACTTCTGTGTTCCATAAAAGGTAGAAAATGTTTT